GGAAATGGATTGAATTGATGAACTTCATTTTAATTAAACGGAACTGCCCTACACTGAGTCGACCGTTGGCGTTATGACTATGTGATTTGCTTGTATTAAGCAATGTGTTGCACATTGGTTAAATTTTCGCGTTATTATTAACTATTAATACCCTGGAATCTGGAAGTCTGGGTAGGCACCATTGGCATGCATCGTGCATGGCTCGAATAGCACCTAAATTCCTTGGAATATTTGCGGCTCTTTTTGCAACTGTGTCGAATGTTAAGGGAAGGTGCCGAAGGGAACAAAGAGTTCACTTATATGTAGTACCGTCTTTACCATAAGGGCACTCGGGACCCGTGCCCAGGGCCCCCATCCTCAGGGGGCCACGAAGGACCGACAATTTTTACGACGGTTGCGTACTACACGTTGCGCGACAACCGGCTGCCCGCAACGTAGGTTCGATTCTCGCACGGACCACAGTCTTAGTGTGATCCACAAATTATTGTTTCGGGTCTGGATGTCATGTGTATGTGAACTTGTATGTTTGAAAATGCACCCACGATATAAGAGAAAATCCTAGTGTGGGTAACGTAAAAAAAAAACATTTCAAAAGTGCCTCGAATCATTGTCTGCCTATATACATATACAATTAATAGACTAAAATACTATAGTTAGGCAGACTTGCTACCATTATCAAAATCGATCCAGACATTATTATTACTAACAAGAATGAATGTTGTAAATATTTCTATAGATATAGATAATTGTTGTCGTAAATGCTCGGTATGCACGGAAAACACGTTGCATGTCGCTAACGATAAATATTTCTTTTTCACACTAGCTGTGTAATTGATATTTGCTTCCTTATTTGATATATCACACGCCTTTACCACTAAATTAAGAATTGTTTTAGCCATTTCGTTAGTCCTCTCTCTCGCTCTAAAATGTTCTATAATCCCAGAAATTATCACATGTCAGGATCACCTACCATCATTCATCATCAGCTTGTTTTCATTCACCGCATATAGGTGTCTCTATTAGCACGGTAACACATCGAACCACTGTCAAGTTCAAGTTCTTTATTGTATGCCTCGGTGCATTCCTCAGTTCCTCAGTGCCAGACACGTTGTATATAATTTTTGTCACCTCACTTGTCTAGAGGATGCTCTTTATTACGTTTGTTTTACCACGAACTAGTAGGTCTGTAACTACAGTAAGTATTTTTGTCCTAAATTACGTACGCACTAAACAATCAATGAATATAGATTTTTTACTCTATCTGCAACATAAGACAATCTACCATTTTACGGAACGTTACCACATAAACAACATGGGCAGTTTCTCTGTAAACCGCAAACAAAAAACAAACAAAACACTCATTATCACATCAGAATGAATGCATAATGACAACCACGGCAGACGGCAGCAAGTCAAACAACTTTTTTACCTATTCCAACTTTACTGCTGTGTTTTAAAGTCGAAGATCCAATGAAAACAATTGACAGTTTTGAGTAGGTTGACCTGCAGTTGGAGCCTGTAACCTACTCACAACTCAGACTGTCTTGGTCCTACCCACGCGCAAATAGAACAATGAATGAACCTTTTTAAACATTTCTTCGGGCAAGGTCCTTCTCCATTCACTTAAAAAGAATCATGATCAGTTACTCCGATATAGGTTGAGTCAACGAAGCCAGTGGTTACGAAAGTACTCTTGTAAATAGCTGCCCACTGTTGGGACACCAGTAGAATAATTAAAGCTTCGTTTGATACTAATCTCAAAACTAAGACTAGAACTAACTTTTAACAATCGATGGAAATCGAGTTTTGTGATGTAACACAATTAGAACTGCTCATGATGACGAGGGCATGATGTGGGAGAGCGTAAAGCCATAAACATATTAGAAATTTTTGTTTAATGCACATTAAATTGCGTAATATAATAAAAGTAATATTTTATTCCATTGAGGAAATAGATGCTGATTCGGAACTTAGGAAGCCAATTTTCCAACTGAAGAAGTGATTGGGGGACGTCCGGTAGGTTCAATCCCGTACGGAAAAATTTCTTCACTTTTTTTTTATAGATCGGATGTATGTCTCATAATGAAATCACATAAACATCACATCCAAACGAGGAACAATAATTTTTGCGGACCACACAAAAAATGGTTCCTTGTTAGGAATGGGAATGGAACCGGACATGTTGCAAGCACAGTAGCCGTTGCCCAGCCACAGTCCTAACCACTCAAATATTTTTACTGCTATCATCATAACATCATCACGCCTTTTATCCTCGAAGGGGTAGGCAGAGATGCACATTACGGCATTTAATGCCACTGTAACACCCACTTTTCACTATTTATGTTATGAGTCCCATGTAAAGACTATTGCCATAAACCGGGCACAATTCCAGACTCCGTCTACCTACTGACTACCACTGAGAATTTTTTAAAACCCAGTCGTACTTTGCCCGACCCGGGAATCGAACCCGAGACCCCTTGCCCGGCAGTCGCACTTGCGACGACTTGACCAACGAGGCAGGCTTGCTGCTATCATGCTATTTGATTTAATATCTGACACCATTAAGTAGAGCTTGTCAACTTTTCCTTTTTGTAACAAAATTGAAGCAACTCGAGTTTTCGGTAAGTTTTCTCTACCGAACATTTAGAAAGCTTCAGATTACTCTAGAAAAAACAAATTGACAGTTACAATAGACAGCTGTATAAATCGTTTGCAATATTTATCATTTAATTAAGACTTATACTCGTTACTTCGGTAGGTATATCAGGATCACAACTTTTCCCTTGAGAAATTATGATGGGGTTCTCTGGTCGCTATAACTCCACCCTTGACTGATGAATGTCGTCTTAAAATCCCCTTCTTAAAAACTTAAAGGATACTACATAATCATAACATAACATAACACAACATCACGCCTTTTTCCCCCGAATGGGTAGGCAGAGGTGCACATTTCGGCACTTAATGCCACTGTACTATGTAACACCCACTTTTCACTATTTATGTTATGAGTCTCATGTAATAGGGGGTGAGCCTATTGCCACATACCAGGCATATTTCCAGACTCCGTGCTACTACTGAGATTTATAAAAACCCAGTAATACTTTGCCCGACCCGGGAATCAAACCCGAGACCCCTTGCCCGGCAGTCACACAGACATCATTCTAAATTGATGTCTTAACAGTAGCACTAGATCTAGATTATCCAACAGAACGAATAAACATACAGTGTTATTTGTGAAGTCATTGTAAGAATACATAAATGAGCGTCAAAGTTGCCTGATACAAACCACTTAAGCTTTCACAACAGGTGTAAACGAATATTATACGTATGTAGGATTGTATAATTCCGAAAGTATATTTCGAACTTGATATAGTTTGGTGACACATGACTATAGCAATAAAGCATGACGCTTCAAACTGCGCTGGATGTAATGAGAATATGCGAATAGGTCTTTATAATGCACAATCGTGGATTGTATTTTCTAGTTATTCCGTTTTAACTGTTAACAAAGCTAAATCATAAAAATCGTTAACAATTAGTCTTCCGTGCAAAAATATTTTCATTAAAAAATTTGTAAGGAAAATAAAATCCGGAAATTATATTTTGGTACATTGTTTCTTCTTTAACCATACACATTTAAATCACGAGGCACCTTGAATGGAAATAGCCCGTGCATGCATGCTGTTTAGCTACATCTAATATTATTAAATTTAAGTTATTCGTACTCAAAATCATGCATGACCTGAATTACTGAAAAACAATAAACAATTATTAGTGTTTACTTGTAACAGTGGTCCCAGTATAGACCCTTGAGGAACACCTAAAATTTTAAGTAATACCAAATTTTTTGCATTTGATTATATTCGGCCGTTTCATCTTTAGATAAGATCTTTCTTGATTTGGTTTATTTTCGGTAGGGACACATTTTATGATATTTAATGCAATCTGATCGTTCGGGTTGGTCAATAAAATAATTCGCATTATCAAAGGTACCTGGAACCGGTTAGCGGAGACATCTGAACTCAGAGGAACCCCAATGATGTATGGTGTGCTCGGCGAAAACTCACTTTTTGGGCTTTTGAGGCCATTATGCGATAATAAGTCTGACGTAACCAGAGATACGTCGGCACATAAGAAATATATTGTGCCATGAATTACTTAAGATTCCTTTCATTACAGTATAGATATCCATACATAGGGGTAGACTGATAATTTTTTTATGACTGTTGTTCTGATCAATGTTCCTATTGCACGCGGAATTATCATATTGTTCTAGCCACTTTACAATAAAGATATGATGAAACGTGTATCAAAACATGAATTACAATAAATAAATGCTAACTGGACACCGGCCCCTGAAGACTTACATGGATACCTACTCACTATAACACGTACAATTAGATAAGAAGATAACTACTTAAAATCTGAAATTCACGCCTCCTGCTGATAGGAGATACATCTTTAGACTATGACATAAAATTATTATGTTAACAACAGTCAATTACGCTGCTTCCAACAAACATAATGAGAAAATAGAAGGAAACACCGTTTAATGCCGGATGCTTCAGTTACCTTGAAGTTACCGGTCTATCCTATCTGGAAAGTTATCCAAGCACACACCTACCTATAGGTACATACGTAGAAGGGCAAATAAATCAAGTACCTGGGTACTAGTTAATTATCGATTTATCCATCTTCATTAAAAGTTAATACCTACTTAATGCCAAAGTTATGAATGAAACAAGAAAGTTAAATAACGATAAAATCGTAGTTTAGAAAAGTGGTAATATAAATCAATCGATTAACATCGTCGCACCGTCACGTCATAAACATGAACGCTTCCGAAACAAATTGCAATAATAACCGAACTATATTTCTGGGCGAAATAAATTCGTATTTTACAGAATTCGTTAGTTTCGCGTACAATTGCCAAACAGTTTCATTTCTTCGGCCCCCCGTGCCTGGCCAGGCGGCTGCAAGTTATAAAGCGCGGAGAAAGCACAGCGGTCGAACAGTCTTGTGAGTCCCGTCCCGCCATTGTTGCGTTTCGTCCATTTCGCGCCCTTTTTTGACGTGCAGTCATTTAGTGTTGCAAATTTTTGCGGATTTAATTTTTTAATTGTGTTTAACAATGGAAATGAGGTAAATATTTTTATTTATTTTATTATGTAGTGTAGGTCCAGATTAAAATTAGGTATTTGTTTAAACTTAAATTCTGATTTCACATGGTGTAAATTATACACACAGTGTTTTAAATTATTAATTTTAACCCTGTGTCTACAAATGGGATATTTGAGAGCTTAAATTAAAATACCTATACACAGCTTGTCTTTTAGGTAGGTAGTTGTTATTGTTGATCGAAGGGTAGGTACTACAAAACAACAAACAATCATTGGATCAATATGTCATGTCACTTAATTTCTATGTAATGATGAGAAATCGTTGGCTTTCTAGTCTCATTGGCAGTAAGTGCAGGTATATGTTTCGTAGCTCACCCACTCGTATGGTTAGCGTAATTTCTATAAACCATTATGCTTACAATCTCGTGATACAACACAGTGACTTGTAATTATTGCGTACGCGCTGTCACACTAACGACTTTTCTGTGCAACGAATATTGAATGAACCGCAATTTAGTTAATAAATGTTTTGAAATTGAATTAAACGTTTCAAATTAAATCATATTGGAAACAAATGTTCGTTTTCCGAGTAAAAAAGAATTGTGTACGATGATAAAGCTAAATCCATGCACGCGTGAATAAATGCAAGGAAGTGCACATATCCATATAAGTGCAGATAGTACTTAGATTAATATATTGGTCAAAATACTGCTCATTAAAATTATCCTTCAATAAAATGTAGTCACAAGCTAACAAATATTTACAAGTCGGAAACAAACTTCCGAATACCTCAATCGCACTGATAAATTTTATGGCGCACTTTCTATTTAAATATTTCACTTTATTTGTCTTTCTCATAAAATTGAAAATGAAGTCGATTCCTACACACAGGTTTCGTATTTTACATTGCATTACAAATCGATACAGAAAATATATCTAATTACTTACTTCATTAACATTATAGAAGTGCGTAATTGGCGTTAAAATGTCCATCAAGATTTCCACTTCATATTATTATGATCACTGCTTCATTGGACTAGTTTTCGCAAGCGTGACTAGTAGGCGAGGTTCGGGCTCGACCCTAGGATCGGCTAATGTGCTATTAAGTTTTCCTGTATGATAATTATGCGTAATTATGAATTATATTTGCTTCTACTTATGTAACTCGTATGGGAAATAAGTGTAGACACTAAACTAAGCGCATTAAGTGAGACCTAATTAATAGTAAATAAATACCGACAGAGAATTGTTAGGTAGACGTACTAATACAAAGAGCCCTGGATCGGTACCAGTTTTCTGTATCAAGTTGGTTTTTATTATGCAAATTAGTTAGTTTAAAAAATGCAATTTATGAAGGGCGTAAGTTCCAAAAATGCAATTCGATACATAATAAAAGCCCCAAATAAACTTTAGCCGAGCACTCTAAATGCATTAACTGAATGGCGGTTATAAATCAATAACCTTCGTCCTGGGTGCATTGCCTGGGTGCATAAAAAGGGATTAGGATTTCTAAAAGGTTGGTCATTGCCCTCGAATAACAAGCGGGACCTTTTGGATTCCGAAAAAATATTGCATGGACAACCAAAGACAAACAAGGTTTGAGTATAAGGAAAATAAATATCTGTAAAGTGACATTATATAATCAAAGTGTTTTAGCTATTACAATGAACATGACATTAAGTTCGGGATGTTTTTGGGAAATATCAGACAATGAGTCTCTCATCAAAGAGCTATAAACAACTTTATTATAATAGGTATCTTAATAGCTACCTACGAATCCTTATATTTACCTGGACGATTTTCTGCTTTCAGATTCAGTCAGATATACGCCTAGTTACATTAAAACAATGTTTACTCTAGGTATTACATAATGAGCGCCCGCCACATAATTAAGTCTGTAATAGTTGTTGTAAAACATTTTTCGTACTCATACACCGTAACTAATTATTGAATTAACTGTCCAAACAAAATTTCTAGGTCAGCCATTGATAGTAAAAATAATTTGCGCTCAGAGATTTATTGTCAACACCTTTAAATAAATTATGAACAAACGTTTTTGTTACATCTATTGCTTTAGATATTTAATTTTATTTGCACAAAATGTTTTGCATAGTAAATTAGCGGGAAAAGTTACGAAACGTCATAAACTCCGTGACATTTCTAGTGTTGTTCTAGACTTCGTACCAAGGAGTTCCAATCGCAAAAAAGTATGATTTATCTAAACATCGAAGCTTTCGTTTCAAATCGATTATAACAACAAAACCTTGTAACATCACCTTGATAAATGAAGACAGAAATACAAGGATCTTTATTTTAATTCTTTGCCTTTTGTTGATGAACCACTAAGGATTATGAACAGAGGTATATATTCTCTATCTGAAATTGGCAATTAGAACATAAGCTAATTTAATTAGTCGCGTATTTAGTTATTCGTGGTTGACGAATTGCGTTTTCCAACAAATTAAACACTTAATTACTGAACAAATATATTATATAACAACATGTTTTTACAGTTAAACGGTTCCAAAGTATCGCTAGAATCACATTTCAGTTAAAATAAGGCTTCAATTTTGCACCAACCTTCTTGGATTTAAACAAAATCTTACTATTAGGTACCCATTTTCGACGAAGTCATTTTAATGTATTACAATTGTTGCATGGGAAGTTCACTGACACTTCCAAATATGGCGGCCTCAAACAAAAACTGTTAAACCTTCGTTCTCAGTCGCATAATACAAAATAAATAAATTAAACACAGTTCAAATAGCCAAAAACAACAAAACAAAAACAGGGCAAAAATGGCTTCGACCGCAAAGAGTTATTTACAAGTCAATAGCCTGTCTGTGTCTGTGTAATGTGTTCAATGAAGAAAGCGTTTGCGTAACACCGCATAACAGCTAACAAGTTCAGCTTTGCATACACTTCGTACGCTGAGTCTGTACTGTTGTGTTTCCAAGGAGTTCATAGTTAACTGTTAGTTTTTGGAGGCAATTTTCTGAACACTGTTGACTTCATCATTTATCGTCCATTTGTGCTGCTGGATGATTTTTTCAAACTTATCCAGTGGATTTGCTTTAATTTACTTCTAGACCATTTTTATATAGTAAAGACTTACTGACTTTTATACTTATTTTACGTTTTTTTACAACTAACATGCTAGATTGAACGCTCGCCGTTTCCAAAACATTTGCGATTAGCTGCGGTTACCAGAAATTGAACGCATGGTTTGCTGGGAGCAAAGGGCCGACGCTGTCATTTTGATTGATTAACGCAAAGCTCTAATTAACTATTCAAGAGTAAACTCCACACACTACTTAGCTCCAAATTATTAGGCCATTGCAAATAGAATTACCTTAAGTAGATACTATTGCTAAATACCACATCCAATATTCGTCGACAGCGCCATCTTTTTTACACGTGTCTTTGAAGTATCAAAAGTTTAAGACATTCACATCGTGTGTCCGGCCCTTAGCACCTCTATTATGTGGGCCACGTTCAGCCATTGTGTCTGCATGCTGTTTGCATACATGTTCTTATAATCCCATCTTAATAGCTTGTCGGAATAAAACAATTTGCATCTACTTTGTTGTAACTACTTGTATTAGTTGTCGTTTGTTTAGCAACACTTTTAAGACGTTCAGTATTTGTTTCTCATATTATTTTACGGGTATGTAATGTTACTTCTCTGTCTAATTAAAACAACCATATCGTTTATTTTATTATTGTAAAGTTTGCCAAAACTCATTAAACTTTTTAGTCATAGTTAATCAAACAATAGTTTCAAAGTGAGTTCTTCTATATTTGCCATTCTTTTATACACATTATCCAATAATTTATCACCTACCTATTAACCCTCCTCTCTTGTTACTCGCAGTTGATTCCAATTAGCATTATAGTCAACAAATTGTTAATAGCCCACCTTTGTCGCAGCCTCATTAGCTAATCCCAAACTATGCTCTATTTACTCTATCAATTTCTCAAAGTCTTAGTCACGAAGACATTGTGCGTAGTTCCTCTATAGATAAATAGGTAAATAATGTTACATAAACATTTAAATCGACTATCGAGATGCTACTCCTATCGATAGTGATGAAATCGATCTGATGCGAACCATTTGTGGCTAATTGAATAGGATTTGCAAAAGTAAAATCTAGGCTTAATAGAAAAACGATCCATCTATGTTTAAGCTGTTTGTGAGATGATTGTAAAGAGTTTAATTATGGTAATGTCTATGAATAAGGAAGTAATGTAGCTAAAGTAGATTTTGTTTAGAAAGGCTTAAATTTACATGATAGCTTGGGTACCCATCAGTTTTAATTAAGTAGCTTCGAAACATTTCCTTCATATCTTATGAAGCTCACAACTAATAACAGCAGAGTTAAGCTTGCCAGGCAAGTTAGTTTTTATCTCTGTCATCTACACTAGCCCGGCTACTACTGTGTTGTAAATCCCAACAGTTTTCATTTTCACACAGAGGCGAGACGGCTCGTTGCATAACGTTGTCTCACCGTCTGTGACGCGACCACGGTTTACACGGCCTATGAACATTGTGATATATCTGTTATACGCGGAAAATGTATAATAATATAATCACATAATATGTATGTGTACATGTTATGTTCTTGTTATGGTTTGTAGGAAGAAAGTTTGATTAATGATGTTTTCTACTTTTTATGCTAAATGCGTGACGTGATTATGTTAAAAAGGTGTAAAATTCTCGTAATTACAATTATAATAATCTTGGTCCCATTATAGCTCCTTGGGGTATGACCACGATTATAACCATGTTTTCGTAACGATGACGTACAAAACATAAATTGGTTATGATACAGAACAGATACAAAGAGACAATTAAACCAGATTATTTTTAAAATAACAGTTGTTTGTGGCTTCAAAATAATTACAGACATTACAGACCTTACCGTATCAAACGCTTAGCTTGATTTGTCCACATAATATACGCATCACTTTCATTCTCATAATAAGTAATTATAGACTAATTCCGTCGTAATAATTTGTAAT